CTCTTCCGAGCAGTACTGGGACCCCCTCCCGGTCGAGCAATATTATGAGTCCCATGCATTCAACGAGAAGCTCGACCGTATCTATGATTTCGCAATATCCCGGTTAGCTCAGGAAGAAGAGACAACAACCTGGTGTGCCCAATTGAACCAGCCACCTCCATTCTACGATTCTTGGGACAATGGCCAGATTTGGTCGTATCCTTACGAGCAGCAGTGGGATTTCAGGCCTGTTGAGCAGTCATGTGAGTCCCTCGAGGATTCCTCAGAATCTAACGCCAAGCTCGACCAAGTCCTCATACTTTTGGCATCCCAAGCAGCCCGTAAGAGCAATCTTGAGTCCAGGATCGAGAACCTAGTGGAGTGCGCGCAAGCCTTAGAGGATCGAGTTACCAATGTCACTCCCGATCCCACCGCTCAAGGCGAAACTACACATAGAGACGAGCCTCGGGAGGCTACTTTGTCGTTCGATGAGAAGCTCGACCTCATCCTTGCTCGCATATCTGCACAGTCCACTCGAGATGTGGAGATTGAGCTCAGGTGTGCTCGACTGTGCACACAAATGGAGATTCTTGCAGCACATACCACCTCAATCGAGGCAAAAGTCGACTACCCCCACCTCATGCTTGATACTCAAGCCCGCACGATGAAGCAAATGTGTGAGGCCGAAGAAGATGATGATGAGCTTGATGATATTTCAGAGGAGGAGATCCACGGGCTTGATTCTCAAGTCCCTCCTCCCACTTCCGAGTTGGAGCATCCGTCTTCGGGGTCTTTACACTATGATACGAAGTGGGGAGCATTCAGTTCGACCTGCTCCACAGATGAGCTTATATTTTTGGAGGTTGACGATAGAGCTCGGGTGGAAAAAGCTCTACGTCTAGAGTTGGGGATTGCTCGTACCCGAGACCTCTTTATCCAGAACATAACCACCCGGATCCACTATGCCCGCCTTCTAGCCACACTGCCTGGGCTACCACTTCTCAAAAATACGAAGGCGTGGCATGACCGTCACTTCTTCCGAGATCCCGGCTGAGTTTCCCTCAGGTTTCGTCAAACTAATGACGTTAAACAAGCGCTTCTTGGGAGGCAACCCAAGTGATTTACTGCTTTATTAGATATTTTTCTTTTCGCTTATTAGTTTTATCTTGGAATAATGGGAGTTTGGAGTTTCGTGATTTTCTTAGTGGTAGGGATGAGTTCGCGAGGCTGATCATAGGCGAGCTACTTGCACATGCTTGCTATTTCTCCTCGAGGCACTTCGGTTTGCACTCCCTTTTCTTATTTTCTCTTTTTGAGTTGTTTCTTTCTTTTGTCTTTTCTTTTGAGTTTGTGTCTTGTGTTAGCTGCTAGTTTGGTTCATTATATAAAAATGTTGGGTCCTATTATGTGACTTCTGGTTTGTGACTTCTAAGTGTGGGGGAGTTTATTTGGATTTTGCATGTTTATGTGGTGGACCGGTCTAGCTTTAGGTTTTTGTGTTGTTGAGCATGATATTGGTGGATTATATGAATTGTTG